GAAGGTCGGCAAGTGGGCAAGTGGTGAGTCTAAGGTAGGCCCACGTTTTCAGACGAAGACAAGTGGCAAGGTCAACAGGTAGGACCTCAGTGCAACTGCACTGAGTTGACGGTACGACTGCCTACAGTCAGCAGAAGAGTCTAGAGAGTCCCAGTCCAGTCCAGCAAGTACCACAGGGCCGAAGGTAAAGGGCAGACCAACGAATTTCTGAAGTATAAATCAAGAGGCAGCGCCCAGCCATTCATTCATTCCTGCKTGAGCCATGCGGAAGCGCTGCCACAGCGACTTGTGCAAGGAGGTCTGCAGATGAGCCCGGAGGACGCAGTGGGCAAGAGAGGAGGAGTGAGCATAGCGATAGGTTAGAGGCAGCCATAGCTGCCATAGCTGTAGTTAGTAGTGAGTGTGTGTGTGTGCTCAGTGTTAGAGTGATGCGTGTGGGATATCCAGGGTGATCCAGTGTATGTGAACAGTGAGATGTTTGGGCGCTGAAGTCGCCATAGCCAATTGAGAGAGTTTTGAGTGGGCGCATGTCGCCAGTATGCTGCGTTGCTGTTTACATGCATGAAAAGGGTGTTTGAGAACGAGTCTGATTGCATTATTAATTTTAAGATAAAAATAAATGAGGAGAAATGAGGTAAGGTATACCCCTTTAAATCCCTCTAGCCACTGTTTAGACTCTAGAGTAACTTTACACCCTGCAAACACTCCTGGGTGACCCAACACCGAAATGAAAGGTAAGACTGGATTCTGACTGCTCAGACCGAGCACAGTCCTGGCCTGAAGTCAGTTTCTTTTTTTTGGAGATCCTTCCCTCTTTTTTGACCCGCCTGGTTTTGCCGGGTGATCCCCACCGGCCCAGCTGGCCCAGGCATGCCTGGCCGGGCGACGGCCCAGCCTAGGAAAAAAATAAAATAAAATAGCCGGCCAAAAGAAAGAAGAAAAAGAAAAGTTTGCCCATTGAATGAGGCGCTGCCTCGTTTCTGGAAACGAAGCAGGCGCCTTGTCCAATGGGCGCATAGTAGCTGCGTACCATTTGAGGGAATACTCACACGGGGACCTATATTCCCAAAATCCCCAAAAAAAGGGGAAAAGGCAGGTCACGCGGATCTACCAAATTTGCAAATGTACTATTGGTGTGCCCATTTGTAGCGGCCTGGGAAGCCACGGGGCAAGGGATTTAAGGTGACCGCAAATGCCCTTTTTTTTGCATTTTCTTCAAAAATTGACAAAAAATCGTTCACAAAAGTTCTTGCACAATTTGTGGATGGCGCCGTGTGACCAGCCAAGTACCAAATTGTTATGAACCTGGTTGCTTGTTGACAGAAGACCAACACTCGCTCACATAGACTTCCAGGTATGCCCATACATATACAGAAGGAAGGGGAGAGGATGGGAGTATCACACCGCAGAGGGAGAGAGAAACACAGCGGAAGACTTAACTTTGCGATATGACAGATTACACCGAACGGGTCCAGCGTCCCAGAACATCATATCAATTGTATCAATTGAGGAACATCTGAAAGCAAGGTATGAATTTGGCTGCCAGCATTGACTTCCCCAGTGGACCTGGGGGGTTAACTACACAGCTTTTTTCAGAAGTTCTGCCTCTTCAAACTCCGAGGCGATGCCAGATCTTCCATTCAATACACAAGCAGCTCCCTTCCTTTTCTCTCACTCCTCTCCCCCTCCGTACCGTGACGATCCCACTATAGAAAGATCCGAGGGAGGGAAGAGATCTGGGAAATCTGAGAGGGGCCTTAGGGGGACAGATGGGTCTGAGAGAATCCAATCATTGAAGGAGAGGGTATAATCTCTTACCAGTGTTTCCTGCTCCTCTCCACAGGATCCTCACAACCAGTCACAAAGGAAAGCCGAGTAAATCACATCCAGAAAACAATGAAGCAAAGATAGTTCACACACAGTATCAACACCGTTTATTAAACTTATCGTTTTGTCAGAATAGCCTCAGAACTGTGATGCGCTGCTCAGAAATGAGCAGCACTTCTCTTCCAACCCTGAGTAACTGCTATCCACTACCCAATATCCCCTGAAACAACCAGCGCCACCCAGATACTGCCTCCAAAGGGAAGCAGCACCCTGAAACAGGCCTCCGAGGCCAAGCGCCTCTCGAGGATGAAGAAGAAGACCAGCGCCACAGTCTCTGATGGAGATGAAGTGCCAGGAGACCTCCCAGATGAAGATCTGCAGCAGCGCCACCTCTCCTGACAAAGATGATCTCTGAGGATGCAAGCTGCAGCTATGGCTGCAGCGCCCCTACCCTGAAACCCTACTCCTGAGGAGGGTTCAGCAGGGCACCAACTTCTCCTGCTCACAGCAGACCTTCAATAGCCCAGACCTCTGAACAGCCCTGCGTGAGAACAGCGAAGGTCCCAGCTATGGGCGACGCTTCGAAGGTCCGGCTATGTCTGTCTCCTCCAACGCTGAAGCTGTACCACCCCAGTTCACAGGTTGCACAGCCGCAATGTACTCGGTACCAACTGCCAAAAGCCCTGAACAGTACAATCTATTAATAGAACTACCGTAGCCTAGACTCGACCTAGACCCGACTGACTAGACCGACCCTTACTGTTTCCGTTTCGGCCTCTAGGGCCTCTCCCTACCCGGCTATAGGCTATAGGACCAGTCTAACGGCATAGGCCTTGCGGCCTGTCTGTCGTAGTGGTAGCCCGGGTCTGCTATTCGCAGTTAGGGTAGCTGTTGGAATTCAAGTTAGTATGGGCCTGTATTTTTTTCCCAAATTTGCAGATATGCCCCTCACCAATTTCCCTTACAGTCAGATATCTCGGTTAGCCCTCAGCCAACAAAATTACGAATCTAGCCTACCTATGTTACAGCCTCAAATCGACGGGCCGCAGGCTGCAGAATCAGCAAGTCATTGCAAAATCCCCATTTCTCCAGACGGCCGCAGCCTTGTCCCATCTGATAAGGTACAGCAGTGTGACGTGAACCATGCCCAAAACCTCAAATCGGCCATTCCCAAATCCGCTTATTTTGCGGATTTGGGGTCGCAGTGCGAGTATGCCCTGAGGGTATTTCCATGGTAGCACATTCCTAAATGTGTCTGACTGTATTTCTGGACAGCGTGGGTGAATCTGTGAGGCAATCACGTTCCGAGCTTGGTATGCCTTTTTTTTTTTTTTTTTGAGGAACAAAGATTAGTGGCTGTTTCTGATGAGACTCCCAGTGAGAGGCGGGGAGCAATCGAATCCCTGTCAGGCCCTTTCATTTCAGGGCATTCTCACGTTAGCACTTTCCTGAATGGATCTGACCGTGATTACGACCAGGGATCGGTGGCACATGAGTGAAAACTAGAAACACGCGGCCTCCTTTTGTTCCATGTGCTGGCAGACGGTCCAGCACAGAAGGCAGTACCGGTGCCACCCTGAACTTTCCCGAAGCCGGTACCCTTTGGTTCCAGGCTCGGCAAAATTAAAATTCAGCCTTGTACATTTAGCCTCAGATGTACTGGTGGTTTAAGTGGGTGAGAACATGCTCCTGAGCCAACACTTTCTGCGGTATGGTTTTGTGCTCCTTCAGAGACAGACAGTCATTGAAGACATCAGCCAAAAGACGGGAAGCTTCAAGAGGTTCCCGGTTCGGAAAAAACATAACAGTGTCTTTAAGTGAGTGAGAAGGTCCTAATGGACACCTTTCTCAGCTTTTCGGCTACGATCAAGTGTATTATCTGTTATCATCAGTTTAATATCTGATCCGTGGTCCATCAGACCACACACACATAAAACAAGAACATCCTACTGAATCAACACTCACTGTGGTGCGGTTTTGTGATTCTTCACGTACAGACATTGAAGACATCACCCAAAAGACGGGAAACTTCAAGAGGTTTTCGGTTTTTGTGAAGATGCTGCGGTCTGCCATATCACAGGAGAGCGACAGTGTCTTCGTCGATCTGCTGACTTATGCAGACCTTGAAATGCTGAAGACAAGGTTTGAACTGCGATGCAATTTTGTTCACCCATGTTTACATAGGGGATCATTAGCTCTTAGTGAGTTCATTTTATAGTTCGTTCATTTCCGTTCGCTGTAATTATTTTGAACGAGTAACAAAGTCACTCGACTGCATTTCTTCTTCTTCTTCTTCTTCCTCTTCTTCTTCTTCTTCTTCTTCTTCTTCTTCTTCTTCTTCTTCTCCTTCCTCCTCTTCCTCTTCCTCTTCCTCCTCCTCCTCCTCCTCCTCCTCTTCTTCTTCTTCTTCTTCTTCTTCTTCTTCTTCTTCTTCTTCTTCTTCTTCTTCTTCTTCTTCTTCTTCTTCTTCTTCTTCTTCTTCTTCTTCTCC